AGGGCGTTTGTTCCTCAGGAACCCATGTGGTTGTAAGGCACTTGGCATGGGTACTGGGACTGTGGAAGAGCAGTGCATGCTCTTAACCACTGAGCCATGTCTCTTTTAATATCACACAAGTGATTCTTTCCACCAAGTGGACCCAGGGTATGTGGCTTAGCCAGATTTCTGTGCTGTGATAAACACAATAACCAAAAGGAACTTGGGGAAGAAAAGGTTTGTTTAACTTACAGGTTACATGGTTCATCATCACAGGAATCCAGGGCAGGAACCTTGAGGCAAGAACTGGAGAACTCCACTCCAGTGGAACAGTGCTGCTTACTGGTGTGTGCCTTCTGGCTGGCCCAGTTTGCTTTATTACACACTCCTGGACCACGTGCCCAGATACAGCACCACTCATAATGGGCTGGGCTCTCCTACATCAATCATCAATTAAGTAGATGTCCCAGAGGTTTGTCTACAGGACAGTCTGATGGAGGAATTTGTTTTATTAAGGTTTCCTCTTCCCAAAGGACCCTATCTTGTATCAACTTGACAAAAAACTAACCAAAACAGTTGACCCCTTGTCAACTTAATACACCAATACATTACTATTCAGCCATAATCTTTTCTTTTTTGTTTAACCCCAAGATCTCATATTACTATCAAAACATAAAACACATACCAACTTGTTTTGGCAGGTGTTGGTTTTGTTTTTGACGACAGGGTTTCTCTGTGTAGCTTTGAAGCCTGTCCTGGAACTCACTCTGTAGACCAAGCTGGCCTTGAACTTGCAGGGATCCATCTGTCTCTGCCTTCCAAGTTATGGAATTAAATTGTGCGCCACCACTACCCAGCTCCTACTTGTTTTTTTTTTGTTTTGTTTTGTTTTGTTTTGTTCTATGTTTTATTTGTTTTATGTTTATGAATGTTTTGTCTGCATGTATGTCTGTGCATCACATGCATGCCTGGTACTCTTGTGGAGGCCAGAAGAGGGTATCAGATTCCCTGGAACTGAAGTTACAGATGCTTGTGAGTGACTATGTGGGTACTGGGACTCAAACCCTGTCCTCTCCAAGAGCAGCAAGTGCTCTTAATTACTAAGTCATCTCTTCAGCTCCCTTACCAACTTTGAAAAGTCCCATAGTCATTAGAAACTCAAGCACTTTACAAGTTCAGCCTCAGGCTAGAGAGATGGCTTAGCAGTTAAGAGTACTTGTTACTCTTACAGAGGACACGGGTTTGAGTCCCAGCACCCACTTGGTGGTTCATCACCACTCATACTCCAGTTTCTGGGCATCAGATGCCCTCTTTTTTAAGATTTGTTTATTACGTATAGTGCCCTGCCTGCTTGTATTCTTGCATGCCAGAAGAGGGCACCAGATCTCATTATAGATGGTTGTGAGCTACCATGTGGTTGCTAAGAATTGAACTCAGGACCTCTGGAAGAGCAGCCTGTACTCCTAACCTCTGAGCCATCTCTCCAACTCCCAAATGCTCTCTTCTGAGCTTCATGGTCACCAGGCTCATTTGTGGTGCACATACATACATGGAGGCAAAACATTTATGTATAAAATATAATTAAAAATCTAATTTTAAAAAGTTTTTAAAGTTCATTCTCTTTAAAATATACAAAGTCAAAGCCATGTGGTGACATATGCCTTTAATGCCAGCTCTCAGGAGACAGAGACAAGAGGATCCCTAAGTTCAAGGCTTGATCTACAGAAGGAGTTCCAGGACAGCTAGGACTATACAGGGAAACTTTGTCCCGAAAAACCAAAGTAAATAAATATCTAAAGTCTCTTAACTATAAGTTCCTATAAAATCAGAATGTTACAAAGATTCTATACAAAGAGAAGAATCAGGGCACAGTTACAATCAAATCCAAATGAAACCCAAATCTTCTCTGAAGTGTAAATAGCTCAGTGTGTGACTTATGGGGCTCCAAAGGGCTTGGGCAGCTTGGCTTGCCTGACTCTGCCCTCCACAACACACATAGTTAGTCTCACAGGTTGATGCCAGGAGAAAGGAGATGGAGAAGAGGAAGAGGGAGAATCATACCTTTGAGTTAGGCTTGGAACTCAGCCAGCAAGCAGCTACATGGCAGACAAGAAGCCTCATGGGGTAGGGAATGGAGCTTCAGAGAAGTGAGGATACCCAGAGTATTAGGAGAGCATTCCAGACTTAGGCCCATAAAGGGGCTATTTATTACCCCTTCTCTTTAGCATGGTCTTAGGTTAATCCTCTTCCTAAAATATGGTCTGAGCCAGGTGATTGACCACCCAGCTGGATTAACTATTATGTTTTGGGTAGCTTGTAATATTAGGTCTCCATCCAAACCTGAAGTTGATTCCACTGTCTTGATCAGGAGATAGCTTTCCCTTAATGGGCCTCTAATGCCACTGTAACACTCACACTTCTGAAGAGGTAATCCCAAAACCATTTAAGAGATGATAAGTAAGATTGAGGAATAAATAAAAACCTATAACTATCATGAAAATCCAGAGATACAGTTCCACAGTTCTTCACTAGTAGGGATTAATGTCTGGACTGAAGTCTCACAGTGTCCAACAGGGGTGCTCATTCAGGAGGAGTTAGGAAGAAACCATGGCTCCTTACTGGCATTCTTAGCCAAGCAACCAAGACCATTCCTACAACTGCTGCTTTTGGCATCCCTGCCCCAAGCTGTCTAGCCAGTCTCTATCTCTCATTCTCTCATTTCCCCCTCCTGAAAACCAACCCAACTACCATTAGGGAATTAGGATGACAGTCTATCTGCTTCTTTCAGCTGATTGGGGTCATCAGGTATGACAGTTGGGTTACCTTTCCAGTGGGCCTATCTAAGGGACACTGAAAGTACACTAATGGTCCCACTAGCCAGATGCAGTGAGAAAAGGAAGTTCTTGACTGGTACCTGGAAAGAAACACCAGGGAGAGGTAAAACTGGAACCCTTTGAGTTGAGAAAATGATTCCATTCCCCAAGATCAGGCATGAGATATAATAAAATCCTAGGATTATACACTCTAGACAGACAACCTAGAAGACAGAACAGAGATCATTTTAAAATGTCCAAAGTCTATTAGAATCCCTTGGTAGGCTCTCAAGAACATGCATTCACTAGGCTCCTCCTTGGTTGTTTTTTTTCTCTCTGGTCTCTAAGGCTTGACTCCACAGTAATGATACCAGGATGTACTTTTAGGCAATTTGATAGCTGTTGGACTGGCTAGGCTCACAGTGCAAAGTCCCTCAGATGGCGTATTAGCCGGGGTTTTATAGATGCACAGTTCCCTGTCCTGACTGCCCAGTCCCAAATAAGTACACAGAAGCTTATATTAATTACAAATGTTTAGCCAATAGCTCAGGCTTGTTATTAGCTAACTCTTATATTTAAATCAACCCATTTATATTAAACTATGTATTGCCAAGTGGCTTGTGGCTTTACCTGTCCTCTAACATTTCTTGCTTCCTTGGTGGCAGCTGACTGACAACTCCCCTAACTCTGTCTTCCCTTCTTCATTCTATCATTCTCAGTTTGGCTCTCCCACCTAAATTTCTGCCGAGCTACTGGCCTGTCAGTTTTTTATTAACCAATGAGAGTAATACATATTCACATGTACAGGAGGATTATTCCACAGAATTTCCCCCTTTGTTTGTCTAATTAGAAAAGGAAGGCTTTAATATGGCCATATAACCATAGTAAGATTATACACAAAGAAAACAGTTATTATTAAGAATTACAGTTAACGCCGGGTGGTGGTGACACACACCTTTAATCCTAGCACTCATGAGGAAGAAGCAGGTGGATCTCTGAGTTTGAGGCGAGCCTGGTCTACAGAGCAAGTGCCAGGACAGGCTACATTGAAAAACCCTGTCTTGAAAAACAAAAACAAACAAAAAAAGAATTACAGCTACAATATCCAGTCCATTTATATTTGACAAAACTAGTGAAATTACTGCTTTCTGTCTTATCTTCATGAGACCAAAGTTTCACATCTAATTTATCTTTTATCATAACTAAGAAAAATTGTAACTATGACTATCTAGTCTTCAACTCTGTCAAAGACCCCTGAAGGACAAAATGTTGCCTAGTGGTTTTCTAGAGGAACAGAACTGATAGAATGGGAAAATGTATATAGGACTTGGTAGAGTAGACAGGCAGTGAGTGGTCTGGTTAGTCCAATAGTGACTGCCTCTCTTTGGAAAAGTGAGGAATTTGGTGATGGTTTTGATCACCACGCTAGATGTCTCAGTTGGTCTTCAGTCTCATGGAATCCCAAAGAAGTAGGTTTTACCACCAGCAAAGTATTGCAGGATAGATGAGCTTCCCAGCAAGAGTGAGGGCAAGCAGGCAAACAGCAAAAGCCTCCTTTTCCCGTGTCCTTTTACATGGGCTGCCACCAGATGGTATGGCCCAGATTTTGCATGGTTCTTGCCGTCTCACATCATCCATCAAGAAAATCTCTCGAAGGCATGCCCAGCTGCTGGCATTTTAATTGATTCCAGATATAGCCAAATTGACAACCAAGATTAGCCATCATAGGTGGCTTCACAAGTTGTAACGAGGAGCCCCGAAAGATGCCATCTGGATCTCATTTTGATCTTCCTTTGGTTCCTAGATACAAACTGTTCATCACCTTGAACTGCCTATTTTTATTTTGTTCAGATGTCTGTGTGTCTTTGTGTATGTCTATGTCACATGTGTAAAAATGTCCTTGGAGGCCAGAAGAGGGTGTTGGATCCCCTGGAGCTGGAGTTATGGTAGTTATAAGCCCCTTGAAGTGGGTGCTGGGGTCTGAACTCTGGTCTTCTGGAAGAGCAGCAAATGCTCTTAACTGCTGAGCCATCTCTAGTCTGTTGCCATGAACCATTTTGTAGCCACCTCTGTAAGTAGCCTCCTGCCTGGCCTTCTTTCCAGCCGTCTCTGAAGGTCTTTTGCCAGAAGACTTAGCTATGGCTAGATGACCAGTATATAAAGGCAGCTCCCTAGGCAAAGCAACCTAACTCCTGTCTTGTATTCTAGGAACTGACTGACTTACAAAGGGATCCTCCTGCTCAGTGTTCTGCAGGACCTGTAGGTGATGACTGTAAGTATTTTCCTAGAAGATTTCAGAGGGCTTGCAACTAAAACCTCCAGTGTTATCAGGGACCAGACAGCATTCCCACTTTCCTCAGTTGAGAAAATCTAATTGTTTTCTTTCTCATGCTTTGAAATTGCTTTTTGTATGTTAGTTTTTGCTTTGTTTTGAGATAGCTGAGGCTGGCCTGGAATACATAGTTGTACCCAGGTTGGCCTCAAATTCTTTATTTTCCTGTCTTCTGGATTGCTGGACTTATAAGTGTGTACCTTGTCCTTTGTTGTTGAAGCTCAACAACATTTTTCATTGTATTAGAATTTTAGAACAATAACAATAGGACTGGTGAGCTGTAAATACCATCAATTACCAAGAGAAGAGAGATGGAGAAGAGGAGAAATAGTTGCCTATTAAGTTAGAGTTCATGAAAGATGTGTTCAGCAATGGAGCCCAGCTTCTGTATGAAGTTTGGAATTAGCTTCTTCAGAGACATAGTGAGAAAGTCTAGGGAAGAGGCGGTCTGAGCATGCTTAGGATTTTGACCAGTATCCAAAAGGATAGAGGGAGGGAAAGTTTTAGAACTCAGTAAAGTGGGCAGGCTAAGCATTGAAGATCTGCAGGCTACTGCCTAAATTGCTTTTTCAGTGGGGATCATGAGCTCACCTCAGTGTGACTAGTCAGGTCACATTCCAAATGGAGCCTACACTGTCTGAAATCATTCTTTCTGTACTGAGTCATAAGGAAGACAGGTTGTCCCAGATCAGACATGGGATACTAGTACAAGTGGTACAAAGCTAGTTGAAGAGGACTGTACCTCTGAGCCATGCTGGCAGGAGGACTGACAAGGGGTGTGGTAGCTGCTATATGCCTCTGCCAAGAGAAGAAGATAGCATGAGTAACTGTTCTCCCACCTCTGAGCTTCTCCACAGAGAGACTAGAAAGACAGCTCTGGCCAGACCTCTGCCTACCTCACAGCAGACTGGCTGGAAGCTGAGTCACCTACCACTAGGATTTCCAGGCCCTCGTTCTGCTCACCATCTCCCTTCAACTTGTGGACTGTTGGGGCTCTGGACAGTCCTCTTCATTAAACAGCGATTACAGTGACAGAAAAACTGTGCAAGGAAGGGTGGAATCTTCCACACAGCAAAGAATTGAAGAGTGGGGTCTAATCCAATGGGAACAAACTATGATAGCTAATCTGGATTGACTCACTATAGAAACAAACCTCAGCCTTGCCTGTAAGAAATTCTAGATTAGGCTGAGGTGAGAAGATATCCTAAATGTGTGTGGTACCATTCCATGGATGGGAGTCCCAGAATAAATTAGAAGAAAGCTAGCTAAGCATTTGTCTCTCTGTGCTTCCTGTCTATGGAGGCTGTGGTCAGCTGTCTGGAGCTCCTGCTGCCGTGACTTCTCTGCCATGATGGACTGTACTCCAGAACTGTGAGCTGGAATAAATCCCTCCCTCTTTAAGTTTTTGTCAAGTGTTCTATTGTAGCAATATGAACAGCAGCTAATACAGTCACAGGGCCCATCAGGTGAATGGATAGATAAAACGTGGACACAGCTTGTTTCCCAGCACTCACACGATGGCTCATAACCATCCCTAACTCCAAGTCCAGTCCTCTTCTGGACTCTGCAGGCACTCATACATTCATGTAGGCAAAGCATTCACACAGAAAATAAAAGTAAATCTTATAAAAAGAATATTAATGCATATAATGTCACTGGACTTGTTTTGTTTTGTTTTTAGAGACAGGGTTTCTCTGTAGCTTTGGAGCCTGCGCTGGAACTTGCTCTGTAGACCAGGCTGTCCTCGAACTCACAGAGATCCCCCCTGACTCTGCCTCTCAAGTGCAGGGATCAAAGGTGAGCACCACCACCACGCAGCTGGATTGTACATTTAAAAGCTGTATAAATGGCCAGGCATAGTGATATATGCCAGTAATTCCAGCACTTTAAATTCAAGGACACCCTGGGTTATATAGTAGACTTTGTTTCAAAACATAAAACACAAAGCTGGGCAGTGGTGGTGCCCACCTTTAATCCCAGCACTCAGGAGGCAGGGGCAAGCAGATCTCTGAGTTTGAGGCCTGTATGGTCTGTAGAGCAAGTTTCAGGACAGCCAGGGCTACACAGAGAAACACTTATAAATATATAAGTAAATCACACATGCACACAAAGCCATTTATACAAATTATGTGTGTATATGGGGGCCTGAGATATTCCTCACATTATTTTTTAATTATTTTATTATTATTATTTTATATATACTTGATTATTTTATGTGTATATATGTCTATTCACAACAGTGCCTTCAGAAACCAGAAGAGGACATTGGATCTCCTGGAACTGGAGTTAACAAGCAGTTGTGAGCTGCCATGTGGGTGCTTGGAATTGAACCTGGGTGCTCTGGAAGAGCAGCCACTGCTCTTTAACAATCCATCTATTTCTCCAGCCCCTTCATCTTATTTTTCTTTTCCCTTCATCTTATTTTTTGAGACAAAGTCTTTCATTGAACCAACCTGGAACCTTTTTGACTAGACTGGCTGGGTTACTT